CCTTACTCCACACACACGCCTCTGTTTACCAAGCAGTAAATAGGAACCCGGTTGTTAGTCGATTGGTGGATCACTTTCCCAGGGGTAATAGTCCCTTCAAGAGTAAATAAATAATGTGGTCACCCAATCCACAAGGCCTTGCGCAATTGGCTGCCGCATTTCGCCCACAAAATACACAGTCACTCCACTTTTAGAGTATATTCTGTGAAGCGCTTTGAGATGTCTGAACTTAGGCCCATTGAGCCTGTGCCGGTGCTCATTTCCTCCACCAACCTCACCACTCACTACCTTCTGTCAACTAGGGATGGTCGCTAACTTTGCCCACATCCCGAGGGAGAGGTTTTTTCAAACAAAATTCTGGTCGGTCCAGACGTTAGAAAAATTAAGTGTCCCTGTGAGTTGGTGTGTGGGAGACGGGGTAGATTGATGCTTTGCCTTGCACCTCGTTTATTGGCTTTGCAACGTACACCTGACTCGGTCTCGCGCTCTCTCTCTACAGCGCACATCACAAGGTCGATTGGGCTTTCCCATGGCTACTGTCTTGCGTGTTTATGGACATGGATCATCTTTCCCTCGTCCTCACAGGACACAATGTGATGCGGAGAAAGATGGTTTTTAAACGCTTTGTGTTTGGGAAGATCACATCAGTGACAAATGTGCCCTCACTTTTCAGGATGAATAGACGCGTTTTTTGGGGGGGGCCTTTTATGTACAACTTGAGAGAGAGGGGTCTAAAGAGCACAATACCTACAGATGTGGTGGTCAGACATTACGTCCGTTCCCTTTAACCGCACCACCTGTGTTTAATGACCAAATGTCAGACTGTGAAGCCCGGGCCGGTGCTGAAACCTAATCCAGTGGGACAGCCATTGATGTGCGTTGTCACATCCAGTATCGTTGCTGTTACAAATGGTTTGTTCTGTCCTCATGTGATGGGAACAATGGGCTGTTGGGTGTAGAGGGAATCTTCAGATCAGTCTCTCACGTTCTCCCTTTTTTTAACTGACTCGCCAGCCCTGAGGGCAGCAGAGCACCATCACAGTCTCTAAAGCGCTATCAGAGCTTACCAAAGCACTCGTCAGCCATTCTCAAATAGCGCTGCGAGATCTTTAACATCTAGCTAGGATGCGAAAGGTACTAATATAATACTAACCACAACAATAATAATAATAATTATAAGCCTTGCCTTTGATATAGCGCCTCATCACGTCTTTGAGACGTCGCAAAGCACATCACAGAATCTACTGTGAAGTGAATCGACTGTACATTTTTGCGGGCGAAAATGTGGTGGGGAAGGCAGGGAATTCTCAGCTTGGTTTGGAGACTTTTAGGCACGGCGATGGGTTTCCTCGTGTGTCAGACACCCGGCCGGGCCAGAAAAAAAACTGGGGAGTTGCTTGGGGAGGTGAGGGAGGGAGAGAGGGTGTTGGTGAGAGAGAGAGAGGCCACGCCAGTCCTTAAGTGGAGCGACATAAAACTAACATCAAAAGGGTTTGAGCGGAGCACGGCTGTGTGACCTGCCGGCTGACCTTGTGCCTGGTTTTGTTGGTGTTGTTTGAGTGGACAAGAGCTGAGACTTCCTGAGAAAGGGGCAGCGGCTGGAAGCTGCATATTCCATATTGAAATGCAAATAGCTTAGAAGTAAGTACAGTATTCACATTCAGGCTCCATCTTGCCCCAGGCTCCAGTGGCTGAGATGTCTCTTATACTGTGTGTTTCCCTTAGTTTGCTCCTTTTTCTCTCTCTCTCTCGCTCTCTCTGCTCAATGCTCGTGCTTGGGCTTCTTCACGTAAGAGCCATTCCTTGCCCAGGGGTGACGGGGGGGGGGGTGGGGTGGGTGGCGGAGACGGGGGGTGTGGGGGTGGTCTGGGGGGTGGGGGAGACGGGGGAAGAGGGGGAATTGGTCAGTCGCTAGCAAAACGCGCTCTCTTTCTGGGAGGCAATGTCTAGGTTTCAGGAACCCCGGCCCCTTCCTCTGGGGAATGGGATTTAGAAGCTCTGCCGTGACCTAATTAAAAAAGGAAAGTCTTTAGGCGGGATTTGAAGGTGGGGAGGGAGGGAGGGAATGAGGGAGGGGGGCAAGGCGGAGGGATTGAGGGAGAGAGTTCCAGAATTTTGAGGCTTAGTGGCTGGAGAGGAGGGAGCGGATGAGGGACAAACAGGGGGCCGGAGTCAGCCGAGTGGAGCGGGAGAGTGTTGAAGTCGGGGGGAGTAATCTGCTTGTTTAGGATGGTAACCGGGGGAGGGGGGAGGTGGAACAGGATCTCAGTGGCTGGACGCAGCTCTCCTTTACCACGCTAACTTGACTAGACGAAAGCACAGGCTGCCATTGGACCGGCCTTATCTCCCGGCTGCAGATATCTGGGCAGTGAAGATAAGAGTCCTCAACGCCAGTCCCACAGCTGTGCTGCTAGTCAAGGTGCCTGTTGGAGCCAGTACAGGAATGTAAGAGCCAATGCTTCTCAGCAGCATTTAAACCCCTCTGACAAAGCTCTGATTCACAGGTCTTTTCACATCCATTCTGCAGCGTAAGTCCTTGTGGATTCTCCCCTTTGTTCAGTGACAGTCTGACGCCCGGCCTTATCTCGAGAGCTATAAAGCACATTGCAATATTTCTAGATTAAATCATAATAATCCTCGCATTTGATACAGCGCCTTATCATGTCTGCGAGACGCCTCAAAGCGCTTCACGGGATACACTGTAAAGTGCAGTGATTGGATATTTTGTGGGGGGAAACGGAACTTCAGTGACAGCGTGGAATTGGCTGCCGTGTTCGGCTGCCGAAGCTGCCGAGCTTCCTGCCCTGGGTGCTGTCAGACCGCGGAGCTCTGGTTCTTAAACAACGAAGAGTCTTTGGCGCTAAAGAGAACGGTAATGATAATTCAGCCACTCTGGTGGTTAGGGCGCCCTGAAAACTGTTCAATTGGGTGTAAAGCGCAGACGGAATTCAATGCCGGGAAAAGGCTGGATTATTAGCATACCTCTTGACCCCCATCTTGCGTCCCCAGGCAGTTTCAAGAGCACACTTGTCCAGACCGACAGACATGCACACTCACACTCACACGCGGAGCCAATTACAGCCTCTGTCTGCATTCTGCACCGACTTAAATGTATTCGCGCGGCAGCCAGAGAGCTCACCAGCGATCATTACTCACCACGCAACGGGTGATGTCAGGTGTGGTGGGCGGGGGGCTGGTGGGGGGCTGCTTTAATCTACCCAAACTACCCAAAATGGCATCACCATATAGGAAAACTCTGTGAAGTGCTTTGAGACAACTCCAAATAAGTGTTAAGGTGGTGCGCCAAATACAAGGATTTTTTTATTGTTATTATTATTTTCACCCGTTGACGTTTTGAGCTGTTTTGCTCTTTGACGATCGCGGGTCCCACGTGGAACGAGTTTTAGGGGCCAATCTCAGCCCAGCTCCCCACTGCCAGCACTGCCCAAAGCACCAACCACGGCATGGAATTGGCATAGAATTGGCCAAATCTCCCCGGCAAGTCAACAGGACAGCTGGGTGTGGTGAATGGGACATTGCAGACGAGCACAGTGGGGGAGGGAGAGAGAGAGGGAGGGAGACGCCGCCGCCAGGGGCAAGAGAGAGAGAGAGGGAAGAGTAAAAATGAAGATTTACTCTATCCGCCCATTGAGGCCATTCCTCAGTGCTGGCATTCCTCACCTTGGTGAATAAAACAAAACAAAAGAAGGAAAAGTGAGAGCGTGAAAGGAGCGCGACGCCCTGGATCGGGCTGGGAGGTTCCCTGGCAGGGCAGACAATCCCATTTTACAGGGATCGAGATGGGGTTGAGTTTGGTCGCTTAGTGATCCGGGGCAGGAGGGGGTGGGGGTGGGTGGGGGTAGCGCGGGAGAGAAAGAAAGCTCCTCTATACGAGTCTCTATGACTTAGCTTCTGTGAACGGTCAGGGTATTTAACACACCACAGGTAGCGAGAATTGAGGAACATTAGTAAATCCTGTAATTGAAGCCCAGACCACAGCAAAGGAATTTGCAAGCTGTTTGGATCGGGGATTGGCGAGAAACAGATACATACACTACGCCTTTTTTTTCCCCCCCCTGAGCTCGAACCTGTGTTCCAGCAAACTCGGAACCCAGGCCCGAGCAGAATTTGAATGGACTGAAGATTAACTAGGGCAGATTTAGTAAATGTGGAGTGAATATAAAGTACTCCCCACTTTCCTTTCCCCTCCCCAAACAGACAAGCCACGTTTGGTTTAAGCCTCTATCGCCTCCGCCTTGCTCCCCCACCCCCCCACTCCTTCCCCATCTTCAGGTCGCGCCTGAGGACCTTCCTCTTCGACGGCGGCCTACGGTCACCTCCCCTTCCCCCCCCCCTTGGCTTGTCATCGTGCTCCGCCCCGTCAAGCGCTCTGGGACGCTGCCCTGTGTGAGGGGGTGCTGTGCAAACACAAGTTGTTGTGGTTTAGCCTGGACTGCAGAGCCGTGAAGCTAATCCACCTCATAACCCTCTCACAACTCGTACCTAAGTGTCTGCTAAAGTAGGTGTTTTTTTTGGCTTCTGTCCTCATTAGAAGACCTCCTCCTCCTCCTCTTCCGCCTCCTCCTCCTCCTCATCATCATCGTCCTTGTGTTCCCACACAGCGTTCTCATCACGGGGGCGAGACGTCTCGAAGCGCTTTGCAGGTTTCTCACCGCGAACCATAGCAACTGTATTTTGTAGGGCCATCGGTTTGTGCCCAGCGATGTTCCGCCAAACAGCTGTGAAGCGAGCGACCAGTTGTCGGCCCAAGAAAGTCTTGAGGCTAAAACCGTGAGGAATTTTTCTCTTGATTTGTATCCTTTGTCCAGGAGGGAAAGAGAGAGAGAGAGAGAGGATTCCATTCTTGTAAACACGGATGGCTGGAGCCGAAACTCGGTGCCACCCTCCCCCGCCTCCCCACTCCCCACCACGACCACCGCCCCCAACCCCCCCCACCCCATCACCAATTAACGTCCCACCTAACCTCGCTGTGTTTTCAGGGCCGCAAACTGCTGATCATTGGAACCTCGAGCCGCAAAGATGTCCTGCAGGAGATGGAAATGATGGACGTGTTCAGCACCAACATCCACATTCCAAACATAACCACAGGGGAGCAGCTCATCGAAGCCTTGGAGGTGGGTCTGAGAAAGAAAAGACAGTATGTGCATTTTATAGCTCCAGTGGGGGGAGCGAGCACCAGCACAGACACGATGGGGAGACAGAGAGAGAGAGAGAGAGAGAGAGCAGGGAATGGGGTTAGAGTAGAGTAGAGAGCTCCAGTGGGGGGAGCGAGCACCAGCACAGACACGATGGGGAGACAGAGAGAGAGAGAGAGAGAGGGAGAGAGCAGGGAATGGGTTAGAGTAGAGTAGAGAGCTCCAGTGGGGGAGCGAGCATCAGCACAGACACGATGGGGAATGGGATTCGAGTCAGGGGAGCTAACAGCGTCACGCATTTTAAACTGCGTTTTGGGGCGTCTGTATTTTTTTTATCTCTCAGTCAGTGTAGGAGAGCGAGAGATGGTTTTTCGATCAAATTACATCTCTCGCAATGATCTGTTGCAACTTGCCGATGTGGCATGTCATTATAAATTTTTTCCTATCAATAGCTTATTACCTGGAATTATTAATTTAATAGGGAGCAGTTAATACCAGGACCTCTCAGGGTGACGACGGCTGCCAAATTCTCCACAGATTTGCCTGATTGATGCTTACATCTGGAGAGGGAGTTTTTGTGTTCACCGAAAGCTGCAGACGCACAGGATTAATGACCTGGCCCGTGTCGCAAAAAATCACTCCCTACGTTAACCGTGTTTCTTGAAGGAGCGGCAGGCAGAAGAGACGAGATAATTAGACAGCTGATTTGACAAAGAATGTTTTATTTCAAACCCACTCGAGGGCCGAATGAGGTGGGCTGAGCGCAGGATTGTTTCACTATTTTACTCTTTTTGTGGGGTGGGGGGGGGGGTTGAGGTGGGGGTGGGGGCAGACACACACCTCAGCAATCGCTGGGTTTCCATTAATTATAATAATAATAATAATCCTGGCATTTGATAGGGGGACTCATCACGTCTTCGAGACGTCTCAAAGCACTTCACAGGACACACTGTGAAGTGAATTGGCTGTAAATTTTGTGAGAGAAATTGTGGAGTAAGTAAAAGGGACGGGATGAGGATAGAGGCAAGTGGGTTTAAATCCATCGCCGGGGTTCACACACTGATCGGCTGGGGCTTGTATCACTGGTGTGACGTCACAGAATCTTACAGCATAGAAGGAGGCCATTCGGCCTATCGTGCCTGGGCTGGGTCTTTGAACGAGCTGCCAACTAGCCCCACTCCCCCGCTCTTCCCCACCCCATAGCCCCGCAAAACGTTTCCTTTTTAAGTAGCTTTCTAATTCCCTTTTGAAAGCTACTATCGAATCTGCTTCCACCAGCCTTTTCAGGCGGTGCGTTCCAGACCGTAGCAACTCTCCGGGTCATAAAATCGTCATTGTTTTGGTCTCATTATTGCTATGTCGGTGTTTGGCAACGATGTAATGTTGGCAAAGTACTCCCTAACCGTGACTCTCCTTTGGCAGCTGCTGAGCAGGTTTGATGACCGTGAACGAAGCAGGATCTCACAGCACGTTAAAGGGAAGGCAGTGTGGATTGGGATCAAGAAACTGATGATGATCATTGAGATGTCACTTCAGGTGAGAGCAAACCCTGTGTGCGTGGTGATGTGTTTTTCTCTCTCTCACTTTCTCTCCCTCTCACTAATTCTCTTTCTGAGCAGTGCCATTGCTGTGGTTGAGCCATAGTCTTGCGTTTTATTCAGCTTCATGGTAACAGGAGGAGGCCATTCAAACCCTTGAACCTGTTCCTCTATTCTATACGATCATGGCTGATCTGTACCTCAATTCCTATTACCCGCCCTTGCCCCATATCCCTTGATACCCTTCAGTTTTCCTTCCCTCTCCCCACCCAGCCCAACTTTTTTTCTCTGTTTCTGCCTTGCTCACACTTTCACTCTCTCGCACTCGCACACCCTTCCTCTCTCTCTCTCTCTCTCTCGCCCCCTCTCCTGATATCATCGTGACTGCAAGTCACTGTATAAAGCAGCATCAGACAGGGTCCAGCAAAGTCCTTTGGGTCCCAGCCCTGGGAATCTTCTCGATCTCCGCCCATTTCCTAATCTCGTCTGATCACGAATTCCAAAACACCGAACCCTCTCCCTATTTCCGGTTCAGCCGATCTGTGGAGCTTGTTCTTGTCACTGTGAGCGCAGACGAGGCAATTGACGGATCTGGTCTGGCCAGGAAAGCGTGGAATTAAAAATGCTAATACGCTCAAGCCTCTTGAGGGCAGCCTAGGTGTGAAGTGCCTGTTTAGCACAATACAGGCAGGAACTGTGTGATGGGCCTGTATATTGCCAGCCTGTTGCAGCCTTGGCTCTTTCACAAGGGGTAATGCTCTCTCCCAGGACTCGCTCTCTCGCTCGCTCCCTCGCTCACGCCCTGGCTCTGGGTGCGCTAAGAAAGAACTCGCATTTTTACAGCACTTTATCACGTCAGCGGCTCAAAGGGCTCGAGGGTAATTGCTCTTGCATGTAGTGACTGTTTTATTTTGTCTGGGTTGGGAGAACGCTTCTCACAAACAGCTGCGAAGTCAGTGGGCGATTTACAGCGGGGTTGTCGCTCGGGACACGGAGGAGCTCGCATCTTTCTGTCTTCCAACTGCGCCGTGGGAACCATTCACAGTCTCCCCAACCGGCAGTCAGGGCCTCGGTTAAAAACGTCTCGTCAGAAGGAAATAACTGGCTCTTTCTCTTCTCTCTTTGTGGGTGTTCCCGTAGTGCAGTGGTGAGAGCACTCGCCTCACAAGCCAGAGGTCCCGGGGATAATAATCCCTCCAAAAACAAATAATTGATCACTCAATCCATGACTGTTTGTGGGACGCTGCTGTGTGCAATTGGCTGCTGCGTTTTCACCCTCGATCCACTTTACAGTATATTTGGTGAAGCGCTTTGAGATGTCTCAACGATGTAATAAGGCGCTACATCAAATGCAAGGATTATTATTATTGTTGTTGTTGTTACCACTCAGAAAAGGGAACTGACTGAACGCCCGTTGCTGTTCCCTCGTGAGGTCTGCAATCGCCCCTGAGGCGACAGAGTTGGGTAACCGTGCGCTGGGGATAAACTGGATGAAGCTACAGCCACAGCTAATGCAGCCTTTGTGTGTGTGTGTATATGTGTGTGTGTAGGGCTGGAGCTGATGGGAATGGGATCTCAGTGTAATAACCCGTCGTCAGGATAAACTAACAGTAACTTTCACGCTGGTTTGCTCTCGTTCTTCAGCGAAACCTTGGAAGTTACATCAGCATCAAGAGTTATATAAATATCCGTCCGTCAGAACTCAGCCCACTCATCGCCCTGAGATAGAAACAAAACAAGTCTGCGTCCCCTGAACGCGAGCCCTCACTCTTGTTGCACCACAAAGCACACAGTCACTCCTGCTCCACGGTAAATCCCGTGAAGCGCTTTGGGACGTCCTCCTGACGAGAAAGAAGCTAGCTTTATTCCAGATGTAAAGATTGTTGTCAAGCCGAGAGCTGTTAGGGGTGAAGTGAACCCGGACACTTCTTCTCGTCTGGTTCCCGGCAGCGATGGCTCTGATTTCACACAGGAAGCAGGAACTTTTACTGAGACAGTAAATAAATGCCCAACAACGCAGACCTGTGATCTGGGCTTCAGCTGTGATCTGGGCAGCGAAATGAGTCTCAGTGGGGAGAGAGACTGAGAGAGAGAGAGAGAGAGTGAGATCAACAACTTTCCCCTGAACACCTCTTTGCTTTTCATGTAATAATAATTCTCCCATTAGGTACACTTCTTACAACACCATCGAGACGTCTCGTCTCAGGTCTTGCACAGGATTTTACCATGACGTGTCGTGAAGGTGTGTTTGTAGTCAAACTCGGCAGCCGATTTGCGCACAGCAAAACATCCCACAGACAGCGACCAGTTTTATCTGGGGATTGAGAGAAACTCCCTTCTATTTTCAGATAGCGCCGGTAAGATCTTTAATGTCCACCTGACAATGTGGCGCTCTCTCTCCCCCCCACCCCAGCGTCAGCCTAGACTGTGAGGACAAAATCCCTGGCATGGTGAGGCTTGAACCCACCCACAACATTTATAAACATGCTGATCAGTCGACATCCTCATAAACCCAACAAAACTAACGTTTTGCAAAAAAATAAATTGAAGCCCTTCACAGGATAGACTCCTTTTTACCAAAAAGCCACTGCCCTTTTAAAAATGTATTTTTTCCCCGAAATATATATTTAAAAGAAAAAGAGAAATTGACTGACTTTGTTCAGGTGGGTGTGAATCAGGTCAAATTAATAAAATAAAACAGGTTTTTGTGTTTGTGCCCGGGAGGGACGGGAATGCAATGGGGAAACTACTGTGCGCTTGAGTGAGAGCCCAGCACTGCCTACTCCGGTAGCTGAAACCTGTCGTGTTGCTGTTTGTACTGTAGAAACGGGTGACTTTAACATGAATCACTGTTAGTGTTAGCTTGTAGCAGTGTACACGTGTGTGGCGAGCGGAGGCTAGAGTGTGGTGGAGAGGAGAGGCGAGGAGAGGGGAAGAGAGACCAGGAATTTTAAGTTTGGGATCTGTGTAAACTTTTAATCGTGTCTGAGGTAGGCATTAGGTTTAATTGTGGTTACCCAGGTCCCAGTTTGCTCTCTGCATCTTTGTTCTAACTTGTAGCTTAACGAGGGCCTGTATTGACTAGATATCGCCCTGGGGAATAAAGCCATTTATCTAGATTACTTTTTTTTGCATTTTAATTCCATAGCTGAGGGCGAGGAGCAGATTGGGTCGGTGCACAATGTATGACATAGTTTTGCAGGGTAGAAAAAGGACGGCAAGTACTGACTGGGAACCTTCCCCACTCCTAACCAGAAATGCTAGCGATTTGATGGCAGGAATGAAGTGTTAAGATGCTCAGTTTATTTTTCTGTGAGCGTTGCAATGCTTTGAATTTCCCAGATTGATTTAGCCGGGTTCACAGGCTGGGACAGGGGTTTTGGGGGAAGGATTCATTGGTGGGAGGGAAGAGGGTGAGGGAGGAAGGAAAAGTTGTTGTCAACCATCATGAGAGAGAAGGTAGAGGAGGTTTGGGTTTGCACCTGAATTGATCTAGAACGCCCCACGCTCAATACACAGTTCAGGTGCCAATCGAGTTGCCCACCCTCTACTTTGCACTGTTTTGTGGGATGGGCACATTGTAAAAGTGTGGCCAGTGGATTGAGGGTGCAACGTGTGAAGTCCTCGTGTGTAATGTTAGAGCGCTGGCCTCGCAAGCCAGAGGATCCAGCTTTGATTCTTGGGCAGGGCAAGACCTTAGACAAGTTTTTCTACTCCGCACGCACACACACCACACACACACACACACACACGCACGAGTGCCTCTGCTTACCCGGCAGGAAGTAGGAACCCAGATGTTAGTTGTTTTCCCGGGGGTGGGGTGGGGTAATGCTCCCTCTGAAAAAATAATAATAATAATTTGGTCCCTCAATCCACGACTGTTTGTGGGATATTGCTGGGGAAGTGACATCAGCATTGCCAGCGACCATGTTGTTTAGCAGGGTCTGGGGGCGATGGAGCCAAAGTCTCGCTGTGTCAGGCTCCGCCACTGTTGAGCGCTCTGAGACGCTGAAGAGGGGTGGAGGGGTGCTATGTCAGCGTTGTTGTTGTTGTTGTTGTGTTATAACGGACGAGCGGGTGTGCGGGGGCGGGGTGTGGGGTGGGTTGGGGGCTGCGTGTAAGGAGGGGAGGGGGCGCGATTGGTATTTTAGCAAACGTTGCAGGCTGTAAGCGAGAGTGCACCTTCACTGCTGTGTGCGCTCTGGCTGATTTCAGGGAGCCAGGTAACCCATATTCAGCTGGGTCATGTTACAGTGGCTGAATTTATTGTTTATTAGGGTAGCAACGTTTTTGCTGGTGGCTAGATAACTGTCACTCTGGAATGTTCTTTTCCATTAGCAGAGAAGCATTAAGACCTGGGCCGAGCGCAGTGAGATGAAGAATGAATGCAGTCCTGGTGTCAGTGCCCGGCACCTTCGGGTTGGGGGGGTGGTGGCGGGGGGAGGGAAGGGAGGGAGGGGGTGGAATAGCACAGACAGAAAGTTGCAAGCTCCCCGTCAGACCAGGGGAGGCATTGTGTTGAGGCTCGCGTGGCTTTTGTGCCCAGGCCAGCACGCTAGTGGGATGGGATTGAATGAGGTGAGGGAGGGAAGGAGGGAAGGAGGGTGTGGGTGAGGGTTGGGTGAGGGTGGGGTGGTATAGCTATAGCACACACTAGCCGGTTAGGATTGCATGTCCTGATGTGCTTTTGTCTTTGCGTGTCTTGCACATCGCTGGTGGCTTTGGCGGCTGTGTGTACCGGGGCTGCCTGTCGTGTGTGTGCGTCCCATCGTGATCGCAGCTTCGGATTAGTTGTGTTTAATAATAACAATAATAATCCTTGCATTTGGTAGAGTGCCCTCTCGCGTCGTCGAGACGTCACAAAGTACTTCACAGGATATAGTTGTACACAGGATATCCCCCCCTCCGAACGCACTGACCCAGCATTCCTTGATAAGGAATCTCAGTGATTACGAGTGACTCTCTTCGGTAAAGGGAAGGGTTTTATTCTGACCTGTGCAGAATTTTGCTCTGAACAGAGATACTACTGTGTCTGACCAAGAGGCCAGGACGCTGGGACTCGCTCACGAAAGATCTCGAGGCTGTGAAGGGGAGGGACAGGAGGGTGGGGAATTGCTGGAAGTCTTGAGATCGAATGGGCTGAACTTCAGCTGAACCTCTGAGGTGATCTGGAGCAAAAAGGGCAGTGAGGAGAGCCAATGTGGCCTGGGTTGAACTCGGCTGTAATACGTTTACCTGTGGGGCTTGTGGAGTCCCCGTAGCATGGTTAACACACTCGCCTCGCAAGCGAGAGGACCCGGGTTTGACTCCCGCGTAGGGCGAAACCTTCGGCAAGTTTCCCTACTCCACATGCCTCTGATTACCCAGCAGTAAGTAGGAACCTGGTTGTCAGATTGTCGAATCGCTTTCCGGGGGTAATAATCCCTCAAAAGAAATGTGGTCACTCAATCCACAACTGTTTGTGGGGACGCTGCTGTGCACAATTGGCTGGCGCGTTTCATCCACAGAATATACAGTCAATTCCCTTACAGTGTACTCTGTGAAGCGCTTTGAGACGTCTCGACGAGGTAATAAGGCGCTGTATGAAACGCAAGTATTATTATTATTATTATAAATGCTCTCACAGGTTCCAAATCCGAACCAAGTTAAATGTGTCCAGGTGTGGAGGAGAGTAGAAGCTAAATGTGGGGGAGGGGAGAGGAGGGGAGGGGAGAGGGTCTGTGGATTGAGGCAGGGGCGAGGCTGACCTGCCTCATTTCTGTTTCCCTGACACTGAGGCCAGTTTACAGTTCTCTCGCTCACTAACCCTGGGTGAGATCAGTGACTCAGCACAGACTGGACCTGTGAACTTCTTGCTCTTTGTCCGTCCGATTTGAATTGGTCAGTGGAATAATCCCTTCAAAAAATATTCTCCCCCACATCCACTCCCTCTCTCTCTTCCTCTCCCCCCCACCCCATCCCCCCACACACACATGCGCACACGCACCCCCATCCCATGAGTAGAAGCAAATTAAACCACGTTGCGCAAATAATGCCAAGTCACATAAATCATTAATTTCAGATTTTAATGGCACCCAACAATTTTTTAACAAAGCCACAAACATCTTTTTCTTTTCTCTTTCTGTGAGCGGAAAGACGTTTAAGTGGTTTACAAAGGAGGGTTTTGTGGTGAAGTCTTCCATGTGATGATTGAGATTCGACACAAGTTCTGGTTGTTTTAAGCCACAGTAATTTAGCCTAATTTCTAGTAAATAACCTGTGTGCGCGTGCGAGGGTGTGCATGTGAGAGTGTGTGTGTGAGAGTGTGTGAGCAAATGAAGGTGCTCAAGGAAAATATGTGTGTGGGTTTGTGCGTAAAACGTGTCTCAATAGTGGACATGTGATCGGGTTTACTTGTGTTGAACGAAAGAGACTGGGCAGGGTAGGTACACGTTAGAAATTGGCCAGTTATTTGTATGATAATCTTTTCACGGATGTGTGTATGAGTGTGTCTCTCTCTCTGTCTCTGTCTCTCCGACACATACATGCTCTGTGAATCCGCTCACACCCTCTTCCGCTAACTTCCACACTCTTGTCTCCATCCCCTCCTCCTTCCAAAAAGTCAGTCAAGGAGCATGTGCCCACTGTGTGGATGGATTGCTTGGGTTGCTCTCTGCTGCTCGTTCCAGGCAGCCGGCATCTAAACACAGCCCGTCTCTTTGTTTCAGATGGGTACTGAGCACCGTGTGGACAAGTTCCTATTGCTCCTGAAAGAAGAGGGAAGGTGAGTTTCCTCTCCGCGATCCTTATTTTCTCGGGTCTGGTGGCTAAGCGGAGACTTGGCTGTTTCTGTAGCCAGAACCCCATCACCCGTGACCATAGACCGTCTCCGAGGCTGTCCTACTGGAGATACAGGTAACTCACCCCATCATAACGCAGAAAACACGAGCGAGCAAACAGCCGTCGTTTGAATTTGTAACTTGGTTAGACACACAGAGAGCTGGCCAGCTGCTCTCGTCACCTGTTCCTCGCTCAGTGTGGGGGGTCAGGATCTGGTGTGTGAGCGATGGGATCTGGAATGAGTGTCTGGTCCTTAGAAGTGAGGCAGTTTATTGAGAGGCAGTGTAATGGGGCTCTCTTGTTATATAAGGTGCTAAAATGAGGGATCGAGAAGGTAAACACGAACAGTACTTTTAGATGCATCAAAGTGCCATGGCAACAGGTTCATGGGGGTGTAAAGGGCAAGTTTGGGTCAGAAACCAGGAAGTATTCCTTTGTACAGATGTTAATTAACAGCTGGAACGAGTTTCCAGAAGGGGTGGCTTAAGTGCGGGACACTTGGGTCTCATTTAAGAAACAGCTGGATGTTCTAATGGGAAGACTGTAGGGCTGGTATTCTGGGAGGATGAGATCAAATGGTCCAAAGGGCCCATTTCATCTGAACCTCCCTTGTGATCTTGTGTGTGTAGTAAGTGAGAGAAGAATGCATTGTTGAGTCAGTAGTAAGGCTATAATTACATCAAAGGATTCGGACCATGTCCCAAACCACAAGAATGAGTCTCAAGTGGTTTATGGACACCTTGAGCCTGTGATTAAGTTACTGATGTCCTACTGGCCATTCTTTCTCACAGTCACTGCCTGGCCTGACCTGTAAACTGTGTTAATGGCTGCTTAATATCAGCACTGCTGAAATTGCCCCTAGTTTGAGGCCTGAGAGACTATTTCAAAGCTCTGGGACAGACAGTAACACAGTAACGTGATTTAAGGGAAGCTGTAATAAAGGCCTTTAAATGCTAGGTTCTTTTCTGTTGAGAGCACAGTTGTGCTGTTCCGTTCGCGCTTGATAATTGGGAAAATCATGTAAACTGTTGTTGAACGAGGGGGAGGCAGGGGAGTGCTGGCTGAAGGGGGGGACACAGTGAGATCTGCTGTGCACAGAGAGGGTGGGTGGGGGGGTGAGCGTGCACAAAGGAGGGGGTGTTCAACTTGACACATTACGTCAGCCAAGGTGACTATTGGGGCTGCAACCCACCTCGGTGTCCCTGGGCTACGGAGATAGCCGCTTGCTGCCCGGGTTTGTACATGAACAACATTCCCCATCGTTCTGTTGAGAGGGGAGGAGTGAAAAGGGCTGATTTCCTTCCCACAGTACCATGGTGCTCGTGAGCTAAAGGCCCGAACAGTAACAGTAAAGCTGTGTTATCTTGTCCTATGATGTGTGTTGCAATATCAACCTGTCCGCTTCCCTCCACTCGCAGGCTCTGGCCTGCTCCACGTCCCCGCCCAGTCTGCCCACCATCAGCCTCTCTGCCCCCACCCTCTGGAACTCCATCCCACATTCCCTTCGCCTCGCTCCCTCCCTCGCCTCCTTAAGGCACGTCTCAAGACCCGCGCCTTCGGTCACCCTCCTACCCCTGCCCTCCAAGCCCTCCTGATCCCAAACACCAGCTCGGGTCCAAATCCCTGACTGTCCAGCACCTTGGGACGTCCTCCCGACTTGAAAGGCGCTGCGTAAATGTAATTTGTTGTTGTTATTTCAGTGCGCCTAGCACCCGGGAGGCTATGTGGAACTGAAAGTGGATGCGAGTGGCCCGTGGTCAGTGGTGTGAGCAGCAAAACCCATGGATGAAAATTAACCCAACGCTTTACTTGACCGTTCGACAGAGAGGAAACCCATCCCCGGTCTTCAGCAGATACTTTGCATGTTCCTTGGCAAACCCAACATCTCGTCCGTATCTTAAATAAAGCACTGGCATCAGCATTCCTAGTTTTATAAACTCTGTTTAAAGTTGAAAATGTACTGGGAATGTTTCAAATCCAAGAATTGCTCCAACCATTTATTGTGAATATCTGTCTAGACATTTTCGCAATTTCCTCTCTTCTTTCCCCCCCCTCCCCCGCTCCTAAAGAAAAAGCATGTAATAATTAATTGGGCCATATTGTGCGTGTGGTGTGTTTGTGTGTTTGCGTGCGTGTTTGTGTATATGGATTGAAGTCAGTGGGGAGTTGGTAGCTTAACAGCAATGCAATGGGGATCTGCTACCTGCATTCTATTGGGTTGGTTATGGTGCAAAGTGGTCCAACTGCACTTTGGTGGACAGATCTGCACCCACCAGAGTTGTCAACTCGGGCACTTGGTGTCTTGCCTCCTGGAAGCTCTGGGTGTCTGGAATCAGCAATGATGGGATGGGAGTCTTGGTCAATTCCTAGCAGGGAAGAGCCTTGCTGGACCTCAATTTCATAACTGCTCTTCACCTTTCATGTCCATCAAGTGAAAAATATTATTTCGTTCAATTGGTGCAGTTAATGCATCAGCACTTGCTGCTCATCAAACCTCCTGTTAACTTCCTCCAGCTCCCAGCCTGAACATCCAGTGTTCTTGGAGCCTGTTGTGCCCACTTCCCTTCCTGAGGATTGATGGCTCCTGTGTTATCCCAAGAGGCTTTCTTAGCATCTCTTATAGATTGCACCTGTCAGTCAATCAGTCAGTCAGTCATTAATCTCCTCAGCCTGTGTTTGGTGGAATAGAGGTGAGTGTTTGGGAGATGGTAGAAGTGGGGGAGGAAGCTGGTGTGTGTCAATGCTCTTCCACAATGTTGGATGCAGCCAATTTTGATCTTCCTGTTGTGTTCCTATGGCTGCCCCTCTCTGTGTCTGCGCAATCATTGTTATTATTTAAGAAAATGTAATGTGTTTGATACCGAACCTTCTGCACTCACATCTCTCAACCTGAAAAGTTCTTGTGTATTGAATGTTTACATGTGCTCCCCTACCCCATCGCAGGGCTGGTCTGAATGGTATTTTATTCTTTTCTGCTGGATGTCCAGACTGTTTAATAAAAGCCACACATTATATCCTGTTATTTGTCACGACAAGATAATCTTCCCGAAACATTGTCCGTTCATTTAATGGCTATTTGTGGGTTTTGCTGTGTGTAAAGTTGCCTCCAGTCACTGCACTGGGAAAGCAATTATCTGTGAAGTGTTTTAAGATGTTTCAGTGTTGTTGCTGCTATGATCAGCTGAGATTATTATTATTATTATCAATGATAATAAATTAAAACAATGTCATGATGCACAAATTTAGTTATCAGAACATTGGATTATGTTTAATATCCTCAGATATTATAAATGTAAAGTCACTTTAATTGTGTGACATACTTGATCTCACCTCATGCTCCCTACCCTCACTGTCTGGGCGGCTGTCATTCAATGCTCTGTCTAGAGGCAGACACAATGGCTGCGGAGTGAGTGAAGCAAACCCTCACCTCCTCCCACCAGCCCATTTGCACCCAACTTCCCAAGGAATATTGATTGCCAGGAACTCTGCACATTACTTTGCAGGGCCTTAAGAAAGGCTACGGTGTGTGTTCAAATGGGATTGCTGGAGCTCCAATGCTGCATGCACTGAGCTCTCTCCTCCTTACTCTACACTGCTGTGGCCAGGCAGGTCATCCAATACCACAGTGATCAACATTGCAGAACGTTAACTAAACTTTCCCCAAACTAGTTTGCCTGATTTTAGTTGAAGGACGAATGTTGAAGAATGGCTATTAGTTGTGTAAAGTGACTGTGAAAGGGACTGGACCAGTAAGTTATTATAAATTCCTAGTCGTTTGTTTTAACTGTAGGATATTGTCTGTCTAATGGCGAGATATGTGAAGATGTCCCCAAACCAAAATCCAAAATGCAGACGTCAGCTAATTAATGTTCTGGTGGCTTTTTTGGGAAACGCGATCTATTTTCAGTGCTGTATTTATTTGTGTGCCGTCAACACTTAGTGTGTAAGTATTGAGAAAAAAAAGCTTTTCGCATTGGCTTTATTGTACTGTACGTAGTTGAGACCAATTTGTGATCTTCAGTGAAAAGCAACGGCCCAAATTACCCGATTACGCTCTGTTCTATTCGTAAGATGATTTGCTACCCGATGTCTGAGGTTGTACTCTGTTCTCCCTGTGAGGTGTAAATCTTTTTACAGTGTAAATGTGCTGTTATTTGGAGCTGTTATAACCTGTAGAGTACAACGCAGCTGTAATAATGCAATAAAGATTCAAACGAGACACTATGCACTAGTGTTTTGGTTTCACTATCTCCGGCAGAACCTTCACAGTCCCTGAAAATGCAAGTAAACGTCAATAAAAGCTTAGTAATTCACTTACAACGAAGAATAAGGTTGAAGAGATCAAGAGCAGGGAAGCTGGCTGATTTCTCCCACCCTTTCCTCACCCAGGGACCCTGAGACCAGTAGAAATGTCCACTCAATATCTCATCGAGAGGTGTATTTGCCACTGAGTCATTGAGGGCTCATTTAAACTTGTAATGAGAGAGTTTTTGCCAAGTTTAAGGCATCCCTAACAATCTTTTAATGGCGAGGCAACTCTACTGTATGTGGGCTCTGGTAGCTACACTGTTGTCCTGGAGTCCTGTAGCTCAGGGTTTAGAGCACTCGCTTCACAAAAGTGAGACCTGGTTCGATTCCCAGCAGGGCAAAACCTTCGGCAAGTTTCCTTACTCCACACACACACGCCTGATAATATTCCCTCAAAAAAAATTAATAAATTGGTCACTTCGATCCACGACTGTTTGTGGGACACTGCTGTGTGCAATTGGCTGCCGCGTTTCGCCCACAAATATACAGTTAATTCACTTTATTGTGAAGCGCTTTGGGATGTCTCGAAGACGTGAAAAGCGCTATATCAAATGGAAGTAATATTATTATTACACTCCGCTATGGAGAGCTAACTCGTTGCCTTATCTCAATTAGTAGCTTTATAGCACAACGCCGAGCGGAGAAATAGCTGCCACAGAGAGGAAGGGAAACACGGGAGGACATCAGACTCCTCGCCTTTGCCGGGGACGGTGAGTGGCCATTAGAAAACAATACAATAATAAAATAATAATAATCCTTGCATTTTGATACAGCGCCTTATCACGTCTTCGAGACGTCTCAAGGCGCTTCATAGAATACACTGTAAAGCGAATTGGCTGTACATTTTGTGGGTGAAATGCGGCAGCCCATTGAAAGGAAACGAGAGAGAGAGAGAGAGAGAAAAAATCAAATAAATTGCCAAAAAAAGACTCCAGGGCATACAGGTGGTAATCTCTCTGACTTGTGCAGTTGGGCTTTCAGTCTTGCCGGGGGCAAATAGTTAAGAAAATATTCAGAAGTGTTGATGCAGCGAGGGCAGAGAGAGCTGTTTCCAACTGAGACCCGAATTCTTATCCTTTACATCTACTTCCAAGACTTTGACGAAACACTTAGAGAGATGTTATATGAAGAGTGAGAAGGTGACTTGGTGATCGAGTCAGCGACGTGTTTGGACTATTCTGTCCATTAGTGGTTTGTAGGGAGTGTATCAGAGTAATCCTAACCGCACCAATGGCGTATCTCACTTTCATCGCTTGAGTTCTATTTGTGTTGAGGCAATTTGCTTTACTTGGTTAGGTTAGGTCTTCAATCAAAATAGAAGATGTCACCATTAGATCTGTCCCAGGCCACCGCTGATTATCCATCCATCAGAGGAGTTTACCCATCTCCAGGCTCATTGATGATCCAGATTTACTGATCAACCCACACATCTGTGGACTACTTAAAGCAGAGCTGCCTGGCTTTGCTCTATGTGCGTCTCCTCAAAGTCGGGCACATTTTCAAGGAAGCTCTCTCTCGCCTCCATTGCTGAATATCTTTACTCATTGTTCACTGTGATGGCCCCAAGCAGTGTGGTGTGAAACCGATTAAAGAGCACAAGGTAAAGAAGCACACACCTGTGTACACTACATGAATAAATTTTATTTCTTTGTAGATAGCTATTTCTAATACTAAGAGAAGGGTATGTACACTTAGTGACAGGAGAGAACACACATTTAACAGCCTGACAGTAAATGCGCCTCTCCATGTCTTAATGCCACCGTGGTCAAAATGGCCAAGTTTATAAACTAGAAACAGCAGATAAGAGGACCTTCTGCAAATATATAATCTCAGTTGAGTCATATATATACACATTGTGCAATAAATAATTATAAAAACATAGGCTTTAAGAATATAAAATCGAAGGGTCGAACATCTAATTTGTACAAAACTTTGGATATAGCAACTTGCAATACAGTTTGATCTTGGAGCTAGTTAACGCCAGTCTACAAGGTAGAAAATGCTACGATAAATGTTGTAGGCTGTTGATTAATTTGAGAGCAGAGGATTTCACTGCCCAACACTTTAAGTAAATATTCATTTGTAACTGGAAAAAGTTATCCATGGGCTCAACAAAAGAAGTTCTATCTCGCATCTGTATCTTACCCATCGTTTTTCTTTCACAGAAAGAAGGCACATTGTATGTAAATAGAATTATTCCTCAGTCGGTGGCTGAGTCGATGTCCCACACAAGAGTGAAGACATGTCCACTTGGGCCACTTTAAACCTCAAATGCCAATCATTTTGGTAAATGTGAAGCTGGAAGGTGAGATGTACAGGCAGTGTTAATACTTAGACGCAATAATGTCACCGACTTAAAGAACTAGGAAGTATCTATGTGGATCTTGCCTGATGTCACTTGACTAAGGATGGAATAAATGAATCGGAAGACTAAGCCGTTATTACCAATATTAATATCTCAGTTTGTAATCTGAAACCAACTCAAGCCATGTGGGAGATTGCAGTGTGCAAAAAATTCTGGGAGTCGTAGTCTTAACGTGAATCACACAGCGCTGAAACACAACAAATGGGACATGGGTTTAAGGGGAAGAAACCAGTAAATACTTTTAAAAGGCAACTTCTCCTTGGGAATGTCTAACCTTGAAACTGAACTTCCTGGGAACAAAATATCAGCCAAATCCAGAAGGCTATAAAAGGGTATTTAAACTTATTTTATATTCAACATCAGTTATATATTCTTGAGACTGTTTCAGAGATGTAGCTTGAGCGACGAGACATCTTTGAGAAGTTTGGACCGTATTTTTGTGTTGGGGAAATGCAATGGGATTCCATTCCCACCAGTCCAGCCTCAACTCGGGTTCTGGCTGCTTGTTTGTATGTACGGTATACATTTCTGATGGTGCTCCACCTGTCAAATTGATTACTGGCATCTTGTATGGATGTTTTTGCTGCAGAGTGGACAGTGGTTATTGTTGATTACCCTCTGCGCCTTTTTTTAGAACGTTCCCAGTTCAGTTTGTGACATTCTTGCCTCCCCCCTGCACCCCCTCTCCCTTTCTCTTGTCTCTCTTCGATTTAATCCCTATGGAAAATGACATTCCAATGGGCTTGGAGCAACTGCCATTGGACTTTGTCGGATCTGGGAAATATCTGACTGATAGACCAGCTGTGGACAGTGCTACTCAATGTCAACAAGGTCTGCCACCACTTTCAGGCAGGTGCACCTATTACAGCAAAACACTGGAGGTGCCTTGAGCACCAGTAAGTGAGCCTTCTCCAAGGTAGACATCAAATGGAAAGGAGGGTGGACAAGAGACGTAAAGCTATCCATTATTCCATATGAAAGGAGCGCTTGGGATGTTAATAACTTTTAAGATCTGTTCAATTGTTTTCTGATCTATCTTAGTCAAAGGAAAATTACAAAGGGTTCAATTTATTTTTGAGAGCAATTTCATCTCAAGAGCAAGTCCCTCCCCTAAGTACCTGCTGTATTTTTTTTGGGATCAAATCAATGGAATTGCTCTCCGCCTCTCTTTCCATGCGTTTTTTTTTGGTTCAATGTAACTTTCTTTTGTTGGGATAGCTCCACGTCCTGTGAACAAGGAATGGAAGGCTAATCCTTAAGCTACCTTCTCCCAGAATCCATGTCTGCAATGCGCATGCACGGTATAAAGTGCAGGGGTGTCTGCTCCTCCCTCCCCCCCCTCCCCCCACCCCACCCCACCCACCCCCCAGGGGTGCCAGGAAGGTTCCAGAATGCCATGCGCCACGCGCCATTCCAGTTCCCCATCCTGCTTATTTGCACGTGTGCACGTCGTACACTCGGACACACTCTTGGCAGCTGACGTAGCAGCACCAATGGAAGATGCAGTGACACTTCTCCTTGCGTTTCTCCGTCCGGGTGTTGTGTCCTCGCCCGCAGCACAGCAGGTCGCAGCCGTCGATGCCGTGTGACGTCACGTTGCACACCCTGTCCCTGGTCCCGAAGGAGCCCGTCTCGGGGTTGGGGTCGCAAAAATTGGGCGAGTTCTCGTAGTAAACCAGGTCCCGCTCGGTGGGTGGCTTGAAGAGCTCGTACTTGGCCCGCAGCGTCTCCACCCAACCGCGGGACTCTCGGTGTTTCTCCACAATCATCTCGGATGCGCTGTCGTACTTGTCTTTCAGATAGTCTCCGATAACTCGGAAATCCGGCTGAGCCCACCAGCAGGTCTTCACCTCACAGCTGCCTGACAGACCGTGACACTTGCACTTCAAGTGCATGTGGTCCAGGATAGACTGTAACACAATCAGGGAGAAGCCATCAGCAACCATTAGCAAGTGAAAACCATTGGTCCAAGTCACAGGCCACTCTTCATCTACTGTACCCATAACTAACCAACAGGAGGCACTATTCATATGAAGCGGGATGTACAGGGTCTCATACTCAAGGTCCTAATAGAGTGGAGCAGGAACCATGGCTGATTTTTGCCCCTTTTTCTCAGTGAGCTCGATAGTTGCACCCCTTCAAAATCCTCCCCCACACACCACCACATGCACACACACACACACACCACACTTCAAACCTTCCTCAGTTTCACACCAAACAGTGACTTGTTCTGTGTTATCGTAGAATGAAAGGAAGTGCTAGGATACCTCGCTGCATTACCCCCATTGGATTTACTTTTTCAGCCACTATTTTCCTGCCCTCTGGAACTCTAACAAATCCTCTGGCCTCGCTTCCTCCATCCCTACCTTCAGATCCCTCCAAAGAACTATCTTTTCAACCATGAGTTTGAAATATCCTTCATTCTCCCATCTCTGCTTAATGCAGCCCATCATTTGAGATGTCTCAACGACGTGATAAGGTGCTATATCATATTCCAGGGATTATTATTATTATTAAGCACTTTGAGAGGTTTATCCTGTAAGATTGGCATTATGTGAATTCTGGTTGTTGTTGAAGCTGGAGGACTATTGACAGTGCCTGGATTTGCTGATTTTCTCTGACAGTTTATGTGAGGGTGAAAGTGAGAATTCAAAAGTTGTGTTCACAGTAATTGAGCTCTGAGCACCTGCACCTCAGTGCCTCCCCATCACACACACAGTGACTGTTGTGCTGAGCGGAGGAGGCCTGAGCTTATCTCTGTAGGTTTGGCTCTGTGCAAACACACACCTCTTGAGGTCTCTGAATCAGGAGGAAATTGAGGGGTTTGAGAATTGGGTTAAACTTGAGCCAAGGGGATGGTAATGAGATCGAAACACTAGCGTCTGTGAAAACTCAAAGGGCAGAATGAGCTCGAGTGATCAGGGACACAGGTTGTGCGAAAAGCACAATGGGTCAAAAGGCCTCTTGTTTGTTCCTCGACAGCTAGTCTCCCTGGATAGTGATAGCAAAGCCAAATGGTTTAACACATGCGTCAGGTTAAAGCACTGAGGATATGTAGTTATCAAACATTATATCATCTTCACACGATGGGGAGTTGTGTTCTTTAATCCTGAGACCTGGGTGATTGGTCAATGTTGGAAAGAGTTGGAGGGAGGACAGGGCCAACTGAGAAGGCAAGGAACAGCAATGCTAAGAGTGGAATGTGTGCCTCTAGGCTTCCTGTGCAAGGAGCTGATTTGAGAGAATGTGACAGATGTATCTTCTGCTATCCGTGTCAACAGAGTGCCACTCCCGAGACTGACCCCACCCAAACCCCCCCCCATCCCCGCCTGTGCTCATAGCCCAGGAACAGGCCCAAGAACACCTTGCAAGACGAGTTACGAGGTACATCAGTCAGTGGGTTAGAGCGAGGAGAGTGTGGAGTGTAAACGTCTTACACTTATGGTGTTGCTCAGGGCTAAGCTTCGTGTTAGTATTACTTTCATATTACTCCCCTCTCCCACTTCCTCCTTTCCTCTCCTCTCTCCTCCCAACACAGGTTCAAACCCAGGCAGGATGGATAGGCTTGGTATGTTTTCTCAGTGCTGCTGTAAGTGTTCTAATGAGTTGTGTTTGACCAGATACTACCGTAACCTCCTGAGACGGGATATGAGGAGGATATGACTTGATTTGAAGGGATCTAACAATCATCAATCGAGATACATGGAAAGAATATTTATTTTTAATGACATTAAGGTGGAGAATAATAATCCTTGCATTTGATATAGGGACTGATCACGTCTTTAAGACGTCTCAAAGTTCTTAAAATAAGATAGATATCACCTACACACTCAGAAATAGAAACCCTCGATCTCTGGCCATGTCTCTGGTCAACACCTGAAACTCTCCCTCCCTCCCCCAGTTCACTGATCAACATTGTGATTGTGAAACGCTTTGAGAGGTTCTTCCTTTGTATCAGGGTGAGTTGTCATATGCAGATCGCAAATCAGGCAGCCTAGTCCTCTGCAGCATGCGGTGAAACCTGTACAGCCACTCGCACGACAGATATGATCTGCTGAAGCAGCCCGTTGGCCCTTCTCTGTACAGGAATAGGACTCTCCTCTGACAGTGATGGCACCACAATAATTATAATAATCCTTGCATCTGACACAGCACATTATCATGTTCGAGCATCTCAAAGCACTTCTCCCAGCGAGTTACTTTGAAGTGCAATCACTGTTTTCGAGACAAACTTGGCAGCTAATCTGCGTCCTACAGTCAGACAGTTAAACAAATAATCAATCAATATGTTTTGGTGAATTTGGTCCAAACTATTGGCCACGACCTCCATGAACAGGTAATCAAACCAACCCATCCTCACCCAACCCTTAACCAACCCAATTCCATCCAACCCATCCTTAACCAACCCTTACCCCACCCATCCTTACCCCACCCATCCTCCCATCCTTACCCACCCATCCTTACCCCACCTATTCTTACCCCAACCATCCTCCCATCCTTACCCCACCCATCCTTACCCACCCATCCTTACCCAACCAAAGCAAACTCAACCAACCCTTAACTCAACCCATCCCACTTTAGGAAGCCAAACCGAAATCCAACCCAGCCACAACCACATTTCCTCAAGCCCAGACAACCACATCCACTGGGATCTAGTGGCGTTCCATCCACTGTCCTCAGGCTCACCGTTCTCCCAGCCTCGTTGTTGTGCCTGTTCATGGCAGACCTGGCATCTGGCCGGTTCTCCCTGGCATCTGCAAACTCTCTGGACACCAAGACTCCGAACTCTGTGTCCTCGCTGCAGCCGCCCCATTTCCAGCCATCACCCGGCGGCCCCTTGTGGTGCGAGTCGCAGCCGCAGATGGTGTTGGAGCCCTCGGCACAGGAGCGGGTCACAGCGAAGGCCACGCCGGCTGAGGCAATGGCATGTACAAAGGCAGACTCCCTGGTGGCTGTAAACAGGGACAGGGGAGAGGAGTGTCAAGAGTTTTCACTGTGTCACAGCAGAGAGGAAGATCAACTGACCCAATCATAACATCTCCTAAGATTGGGACGTAATACTAAAGCAAAATTTAATAATAGTAATAGTAATAATCCTTCCATTTGATATAGACCTTATCACGTTTTCAAGACATCTCAAAGTGCTTCATACAATAGACTGTAAAGTGAATTGACTGTATATTTTGTGGGCAAAGTCACTTAAGTCACATTAAACCTTCAAATCAGTAACATTTTTCTTTACATTGGATTTCACACTGACTACCACTCATACTCAATGATGGGTTTCTTCAGACTCAGTAAAGGAGTCTTTTGTTTTAAGCTTCGGAATATAATTATTATATATTATATCAAATAACAGATATGATGTTGATGAGAGTTAAAACAGGGAGACTTGTCATTAAAATGTCTATTTAAAATCTATTTCCAAAAAAACAGGATACATTTAAATATTATTTTTGGAGGTTTCTGTCTATTTCTGTTCCGAAACATTTTATATGGATAAAAAATTGGTATTAAAGGCTGAGGTGTAATGACAGGTTTGCAGAACTGGGATCTGTTCCTGAAGCCAACAGTGTAAGTGATTGGGATTAATATTCAAGGAACCCAGATCAACACCCACAGAGCAAGACTCCACTGAGTAAATAGATACCTCAGGACGTAGTGTTTAGCTAACGCCAAGCCTGGGTCCCAGAACTAAATTGCCAGACAGCGATATCAGTGGCAAGCTACGTGGTTTTAGCTGGTTAGACTTCAGCAGTTATCCCACCTCACATTCTGGGCTCCCCCCAAGCCTTGGCTCTTGCCAACCTAATACTTTCCGGATTTAGTTAAGCAGGATGTGTCCCTCCGGGGAGAGAGGAGAGCGCACATCCAATTCCGACAATCTATCTCTGGGATTCCTGTGTATAGGTGGGATGCATGCAAATCTCAGCTTGGTTTGGATACTCTTAAGCATGGTGGTGAGTTTCCGCTTGTGTCAGACACCCGGCTGACCCAAAAAAAATCAGAACTAAATTGTACTTGCCTGTGATCTCATTATACCTACGTATACAGTCTCTACACAGCCATCTCTAGCCATTTTACCCTGCATGAAAGGGCGCTATATAAATACAGATTGTTGTTGTTGTTTCTCTTTCTATACATACACAAACCACATACACACAGATACAATCTGCAGAAGAATAACCATCTTGTTTTACCTACAACAATGAATCATCTACAGCACAGATCAACAGGCTCTGTACCTCTCTTGCACTAAATAACTCATTGAAGTTTGATTCTATAGACGTGGGCCACCCTCTGCTATCTCATTCAAGTGGCTGTTCTTTGTATGTGAGCCTGGAGGTGAATGTTGATAGGATAATATGTGTGTGTGAGAGAGAGAGAGAGTGGTGTTGGGGTGGGAGGGGGGGGGGGGTGGAGAGAGAGAGAGAGAATGACTGAAGTCAGATGCTTTTTCAGCTAGAACTACCAGCAACAGGTGAGAGGGATGTGTGACACCTCACCTGGTCCCTTGTTGCAGCCATAGGGAACCTCAGTCACTACAGCACAGAGAGAAAGAGAGAGAGAGAGCAGTGGTGGGAGATACGGGCAGTAGATTGACATCAGCTACACCCGAGTGTCAGTCATAGAGCTGGACTGTGACGTGTCCCCAGTCACCTCTTGCTTCCACGTCCCTGTGTCAGACACCAGACAAACACTTTCCACCCTGAGCAATCGCCCCAGTTCAGACCCGTTATCCACAGCCTGACACCTTTCCCTCTGCATAGCCTCTCAACACTTATTGAGTCGTGTGTCTGTCTGCAGATCCCAGGGAGGCCAATTCTCGTTATTAGCACTCAAGTTTTTCTGTTTATTTGAAAAATGCTTCACCCACAAAACACACGGTTACTACACTTTACGGTATATTCTGCGAAGCTCTTTGAGATGTCTCGAAGATCTGATAAGGCGCCATATCAAATGTAGGATTATTATTATTATAATTAACAAAAGCTTCCTAAAGTAAATACTTTTTGAAAATAGAACAAAGCAAATCGCACAAATTACAATCCATTCCCTTCTCTCTCTCAGCCCCCCACCCACGCCACCCCCCCCTCCCCCAACAGTCGCTGGAGCTACCCAGTACTAACTTACTGGGGTCCCATTGCGATGGGGGCGAGGGGGAGGTTTTGTTGAGATTATGTGGGTGTACATTAGGTCACAAATACAGCAAGAAACCTCGTAAAGGGTTTTTAAGGTTGGCAAAAGTAATAATAATCCTTGCATTTGATATAGAGCCATATTACATCTTTGACATGTCTCAAAGCGCTTCACAGAATATACTGTAAAGTGAATTGACTGGATATAACGTTATGGGATACAACAAATAGGTAGTTCAGGACAGATATGCATGCGACCACCAGGAAGGTGGAAGGTGAACTAGATGGACCCTGGTCTTTGTTTGTCTAGCATTTCTTATGTTCTTATATTTTGTGGGCGAAATGTTAGCAATTAAAGTGAAAGAGAATCAGAGTGAGTGTGGCAGTGAATGAGTACGAGACTCCTGTGGGAGAGTGAGTGAGGGAGAGTGAGAGAATGAGTGTGAAAGAGTGAGTTTGAAAGAGTGAGATTGTGAGTGTGAGTATGTTAGTAGGAGTTAGTGTGAGAGAGTGAGTTTCAGAAAGTGCGTGTGAGCGTGTGAGTGAGAATGAGTGTGAGAGAGAGTGAGATGGTTTGAGAGAGAGAGAGTGCAACCGGTTTGAAGTTTGCGAATGCGTGTGTGTGTGAGACAGAGAGTGAGAATGTGTGTGAGAATGTAATGTGAGAGTATGTGGAGTCCTGCAGCTCAGTGGTTAGAGCACTCGCTTTGCAAGCGAGAGACCTGAGTTCAATTCCAGGCAGAGGGCGAAACCTTGGACAAGTTTGATGAGAGGCGGTGTGGGAATGTGAGAGAGAGAGTGAGTGTGAGAGTATATGTGTGTGTGAGAGAGGGATAGGTGGTGGGGGAAAGAGTGGCGATGTGGGAATAATGTGAGAGAGAGAGTGAGTGTGAGAGTATATGTGTGTGTGAGAGAGAGAGAGGGAGTGTGTGAGTGTGAATGAGAGAAAGAGGTGGTGGTGGAGAGTGGCGGTGTGGGAATGTGAGAGAGAGAGTGGGTGTGAGAGTATATGTGTGTGTGTGTGAGAGAGGGAGTGTGTGAGTGTGAATGAGAGAGAGAGAGAGGGGAGGGAGGGAGGGGGGGAAGGAGAGTGACGGGTGGCGGTGTGGGAATGTACTGGGACAGGGAGGACAGGGGAGAGCCGGGGAGTCGCTGGCTGCAAAATGAACCTCGTTACCTGCTGGGTGTCTGAATTTGCCTTTGTTGGCTCGGTGTCACACCGTATTACCCACACAATGGCTCGAGCTACTTCACACCAAGTTACCCACTGCACAGGGCCGGCATTCTCTTAACAAATCGTAGCAACAGCCAACTTATTCTTACCGCTAGTGTAGTGTGTCCTCAATCGGTGTGGGATAGATTAGGAAATCCCTATTGAAACACTTTAATCAAAATGGTTAAAGGGCGTGTGAATAGCCAGTTCCATGGCCATAATCACTGGTTTGCTATGATATTCTCTGCCCTCGCTCGCAGTAGGGTAGAAGATTAACTCTTTTTTTTAGCATAATCTTATTTTTGGGGCCTTTAATCCCTTTAGCAGATGATGCTGGCTTCTCCAACTTGCAGCTGAGAAGCAAATAATAATGATTTTTTTTCATTTAAGAAGGCAGAGAGATAGATATGCTTTAAAATGTCATTTAAATGGCAAGTAATTGAGGCAAGAGGCAGGTCGGTACACGTCTGGGGCTGGGGCTGGGCTGAGGAGGGAGTCTGGGGAAGGTGCTTTGCCGTGTGCACACACACTCACAACCACACACAGATACACTCACACAGATACACACACATACACAGAGATATACACAACCACTCACACAGACACACACACATACACAGAGATATACACACCCACTCTCACAGACACACACACACATACACAGATACTCACACAGATATACACACTCACACATACACACACACATACGTACATACAGAGATATACACACCCACTCACACAGACACACACACACACACACACACACTCACTCCCCGCTAATCTCAGCGTCTCTGATTGACGAGCGAGAAATCTCGGAAGAAAAAATGTATGGGAATCTCTCGCATTCTCCAGACAGAGAGGGGAAAGGAGACAGAACCGCGGGACGTTAAAAAGTAAAGATAGATAGATTCCCTCCCCGCGGTTTGACTCAATTACGCGACGCTTCAGTGACAATTGGACACAGTGAGTGTTAGCGCTGAGGGCTGAGAGCTTACCCCCCCCACCCCGGGTGTGAAACAAGCCGTTTGAGTTTCCACCAACCTTTGGGTATTGATTGATAATAAATAAAATAATAACAACAACAATAATAATATTTGCATGTGATGTACAGCGCCTCAGCACGCCGTCAGTCGAGACGTGGCAAAGTAAAGTGTAGTGACTGTGTATGGTGCAGGTGTCAGTGTTGTCAGGACTCCCCACTCATACCAACACTTTACAGAAGAGGAAACCGCTTCAACTCTCTGAGGTTTATGAGCCGTTTTACATTAACCTGAGTAGGAAAAGCCCCTCAAGTGCTGAGGCTGCATTAGTGTGAGTTAGACTGCGTATTGTGTTGGCAAGCGATGCATGGGGCAGATATGTCTGCTCAGCCCCCCCCCCCACCCCCCCCCCACTTTCCACACACCCACCCACCCACACACACACACACACACACACTCTCACACACACCCTCCCCCTCCACACACACACATACACACTCTCACACATACCCTCCCCCTCCACACACACCCCCCCTCCACACACACACACCACACACACCACACACACACCCTCCCCCTCCACACACACACCCACACACACTCTCACACACACCCTCCCCCTCCACACACCCACCCACACACACCCTCCCCCTCCACACACCCACCCACACACACCCTCCCCCTCCACACACCCACCCACAGACACATACACACTCTCACACACCCTCCCCCTCCACACACACACCCACCCACACACACATACACACTCTCACACACATCCTCCCCCTCCACACACCCACCCACACACACATACACACTCTCACACACCCTCCCCCTCCCCACACACACCCACCCACACACACATACACACTCTCACACACATCCTCCCCCTCCACACACCCACCCACACACACATACACACTCTCACACACATCCTCCCCCTCCACACACCCACCCACACACACCCTCCCCCTCCACCCACCCACACACACACTCTCACAACACCCTTCCCCCTCCACCCACACACACACACACCCTTTACACACACACCCACTCTCACACACACCCTCCCCTCCACCCACACACCCTCCCTCTCCACACACAGCTTACACTCACACTTTCACACTCTTTCCCCCCCTCACATACACACTCTCACACACACCTTCCCTCTCCACACACACACCACTCTCAAACTCACTCTCTCACACTCCTACACCCCCCCCCCCCCACACACACACACCCTCACACCTCTCACTCACACACACACACACACTCTCTCACACACACCACTCTCACACACACACACACCACTCTCACACTCACTGTCTCACACTCCTACCCCACCCCCTCTCACACACTCACCGCCCCCACACCCCCACCTTCAGGTTGGCGTGGAGATGGGATGAAGATGCCCACAGGGAGGGATACACAAAAAATCCCAACTGAAGCTTCTCAGCCCCGAATCTCTGCCTCCCACCCATACACACACCTATACCCTCCCCCCCCCTACACACACACACCCTCCCCATCCCCACACACACACACCCCACCCACACCCACACACATGGGGGGTTTTGTTTAAAATGTAAAAACAAAATATGTTTTATTCTAACCCATTCACTGCTTCACAATGAGTGTAAGTTGGGGAGATTGGGTGCACTTGACACATTCGCTCCTTATGTAATGTTACCTGCCAGCTATTCACTCACACATTTATATTAATTACACGTCAGAAAAATGAGAATGCCATCCTTTACAGGAGTCAGTCACACTAATAAAAAATAATCCTTTGCATTTGACGCAGCGCCTTATCGTGTCCTCGAGACGTCTCAAAGCGCTGCACAGAATAGACTGTGAAGTAAATTGACTGTAGGTTGTGTGGGCGAAGCTGACAGCTGCCCCTAATGATGTTTTTTTTACCAACCACAATAATAATCAAAAAAAATTGCTGCGTTTCGACCACAAAGTATACAGTCGATCCATTTTACGGTATATTCTGTGAAGCGCTTTGAGGCGTCTCGAATACATGATAACGTGCTATATCAAATACAAGGATTATTATTATTGCTACTGTTATTATTATTAAAAGATGTCTCTCGTCTCCTCACGGAACTTTCCCCTCTACTCTCTAGGAAGCCAGACACACACACACACACCTCAGCCCACAGTGTGTGACTGTGCTACGCACACTCCCAGCTGAGCTTCACAGAGAGTGAGAGAGAGAGAGAGAGAGAGAATTGAGCACTGCTGAATGGGCTGAGAGCCAGGGAATGTGAGCTACAGGCTGCTCACAGGTCTCAACACTTGCGGAAATATTTTCCTCTTTTTTGGCAAAAAAAATTAAAGAAAAAAAAATTAATCACTGAGGGATTTGGTCAGAAGTGGGTGAATGATGTACAGAGCGAGAGGCACATTGCGAGCGCTTCGTCACGTTGCACCTGATTGAAACGGTTCTCTAAATAGCCCTGTGTGTGTGGGTGTGTGTGTGTGTGTGTGGTGGGGGCTGTGTTATACAATATATATACAACACACAGACAGACACACACAGACATACATTCACATACACACATACAGACACACACACACAGACAGACACTCACACACAGACACACACGCAGACACACAAAAGGAGATGGATTCCGCCCCCACAACAAATACAATCATCAACGATTAAACTGTTCGAAAGCGACGAATATGCGAATTACGAATTCACCGTTTCGAATACACTGCAGCGAATGAACTGCGAAGAAAGGCTTATAATCAGTAATTCGGTGCGTTGCAATGGGCGTTGCATTGTGTGGGTACGATTGCAGGGAATTGGGGAAGGGGCAGGGGAAGGGGAGTGAGGGAGAGAGGAGGTGGTGGGGAGTGGGTGGGGGGGGGGAGAGAAGAGGGAGGGGAGAGAGTAGGGAGGGGAGAGAGAGAGGGTGGTGCGGTTGAGGATATAATAAGCTCGCATTCCCCCCTCCCCACACACACACTCTATGCTGCTAAAATGAAGATCACTTGAGCAGATATAGGGGCTAACCTCGCCCCCCCCCCCCCCCACCCACCCCACACACACCACCCGCTAAACACAAGCCGAGGCTTGTGCTCCCGATCGCTGTCCAGTGCTGGAAAGCTGGAGAAAGTGGATATCGGGGGAGGAGAGGAGAGCATCAGGTTTGGCTGTGGTTATGTGTTAAGTTCCTTCAAACACTTTTCATCCAGCCCACACACATTAAGAATAGCTACACGGTATAGACACATCAGCAGGTGTCAGACACCAAAGGAACTCCTTCACAGTATATATAGGAGAGAAGAGACGAGCGAAAGAGAATTCGTGGTCTCAGAGGAGTGAGGGCCCTGTATAATAATGATCATCCTCGCATTTGATATAGCACCTTATCAAATCATTGAGACGTCTCAAAGCGCGTCACAGAATCTACTGTAAAGTGAAGTGCCTGTATACTTTGTGGGTGAAACGTGGCAACCAATCTCCCAAACAGTCGTGGATTGAGTGACCAACTTATTATTATTATTATTATTTGGAGAGATTATTACCTCTGGAAAGCAATCTGACCAGCAACCAGGTTCCTATTTACTGCTAGGTAAACAGAAAAACATGGAGTAAGGAAACTTGCCTAAGGTTTCACCCCACCCGGGAATCGAACCCAGGTCCTCTCTAATGCTCGTGAGATTTGCTGAGAGCTTGCATTTGATAGAATGCCTTAACATGTCTTCGAGACGTCTCAAAGCGCTTCATAGAATATACTATGAAGTGAATTGACTGTATATTTTGTGAGCCGAATGCGGCACACAAAAGTATATCAAGTATGTAAAATTGTATAAAATATATATAATTTGTTTCAAAAATGTTAATTCTAATCATTTAGGGACCCAATCTCTGCTAAAGCACATCTTGTCTTGTGAAGAGACAGTTTCTGCTAAACACAAGACTACTTCTCCTCACTCTCACCCTGAAACAACAACTCTGCAATTCACTAACAAACCCTAAGACTGTGGGAAAAGTGGCTCCAATTTCTGCTGACACTGTCTGCCCATTCCTCCTAACACAAGTGGTGAAGCTGCCATGCTCCTGGGCACTATAGGGCTATAAAGGATTTGGAAAAATCTGACAGTCTTATTAGCTCAAACTATATTGTGGTTTGGGAGGGACCAGGTAGAAGGTGTGCCGCCCTGCAACCACATCCTAGTCTAGAAGCAGCTTTGATCAAGCGCCTCATCACCTCCGCTCACTCCTTCCTGATAAACCCAATCACTGCCTCAGTTGGAGAAAACACTTCAACCCATGGGAGTAGGGAAGCTGGAAGGCAGATGGTAATCAGATGACAAAGAACTCTTTGCCTTACGCCAGGATTCGCTCTCCAATAAAATCAAATCTACACATTTGGTAACCAATAACAACATTAGTGAAGTTTGAACCCTGTCCCAATGTATAATCACTTAATCAGTGCCTTGTAAGTGATATCAATGACAAGCTCATCCATGACAGGTGCATTAAATTCTAGAAGCAGGTGTGAATTCACAGGGGGTGAATCCCAAAATCCACCTCGCTTTTAATCTGTGGCATTAGCGTGTCTTAATAATAATTTATAATAATAATAATCCTTGCATTTGATATAGCACCTTATCACATCTTCGAAACATCTTCACGGAATATAGCGTGAAGTGAATTGACTGTATGTTTTGTGGGTGAAACGCAGCAGCCAATTGCACACAGCAGCGTCCCACAAACAGTGGTGGGGGGAGGGATTATTACCCCCGGAAAAACCAGCCGCAATTCAACTAACAACCGGGTTCCTATTTACTGCTGGGTAAACAGAGGCGTGTGTGTGGAGTAAGGAAACTTGCCCAACATTTCGCCCTGCCCGGGAATCGAACCCGGGTCCTCTCGCTTGCGAGGCGAGTGCTCTAACCACTGAGCAACAGGACTCCACTCATATTGTGCTGAGTTTCTGTATAAATACCTTTATCCAGGACTGGCCCAAAGATGGCCAGGTTATCGTTGACTGTGGTACAATTCCACCTCCTCCCCCGGAACTGGTGCTGACACTCTTGGATGCCAATCTTGACGCCCTCGGCCACGCTTGGCATGATTTCGATATAGTTTCGGCAAAAGCGCAGTTGCTTGGGGACCAGCCCTGGGATACTGCCACACAAGATGGGTTGAGTTCCCAGGGAGGAGTACTGGTGCCCCATCGCCAGCGACCTGGGTGATGGGGGGGCGGGGGGGTGGGAGGCGAAGAGAGAGAGAGAGAGAGGGGGAGAGAGAGAGACAGCAGCAGGTCAGCAAGCAGCACATATCACAACAACAACTTGCATTTATACAGCACCCCTCCCACAGGGACATTAAATATCTATACCTTCACCGTTTGTAAATTAGCCAAACATCTATCTATTTACAACAACAACTTGGATTTATGCAGCGCCCCCTCACCCAGGCACGTTTAGCCCACGAAAAATATACACGTTATAGTATATCCTGTGAAGCGCTTTGAGACATCTCGAAGAGCCCGATAAGGCGCTATATCAAATGTAAGGACTATTAAGGGAGAGTACTGTATATTATGTGTTGCCTTAAAATTCAAATCCACATTGAGCTGAAATCATGACCAGTAGATCTGAAGGTTGAATCCAGACAAGAAGTCCGAGTATGTGCCACAGAAACACTCAGATCTGCACAGTAAACACAACTTGGCTTAGAGGATATTTCTCCTCTGCCTGTACTTCCCTGGGAGGGCCTTCAGCGAAAATCGATAAAATGCCTTTATTGTAGTTTCAGATGCGAAGTCGTCTTTAAGACCACATCCGTTCATTAATTAATATTGCAACAATCCTCTTTTCGTTTGGGCCAAATGCTCCTCACAATTAAATTGATTAAAGCAATCGGCCGCCGCCTTTCACCCACAAAACACACAGTCAGTTCGCTTCACAGTGTGTTCTGCGAAGCGCTTTGAGGCGTCTCAACGACGTGATAAGGCGTTAAATCAAATGCGAGGGTTATTATTATTATTGTTGTTGTTGTTAAGTTATCAAACGAAAGGAATCGCTACCGCTATAGCACTGAGACAATCTGGGACACTGGAGAGGAGGCGAGAGACAGACGGAGAGAGAGACCGAGGAGGTTTTCATCGGCTGAAAAAAGAGGCAAACGATCTTTATCATCAACCCCACAAGTGCAATCCACTGGAATATAAATCACTACAATAAAGTGTGAAGGGTTTGGGGGAAATTTAGAATAAACAAACGAGACATTGCAAACGGTTTGTTCACGTATGTGTTGTCGTAAAAAACTCAAAATCCGAAATAGTCTTAATTTAACTCCACGTTGAGCTAAATCGTCAATTTAGGTGCACACGGAATCCAGGAGAAGAGGGGTCTCAGATCTACACAGTGAACACAAAACAGGTTGATAGGATATTCCTCCTCTGCCTGTGGTTTGGCCGATGGTTTGGTCAAATAACGCCGATCAGATAACAGTCACCATCACCGATCAATTCAGCTGTTACACGAACAATATGCAACACGAAGGGATTTTTGTTGAACACACACACACAAAAAAAAGACAGGCGTCAGATGGCAATTATTATTAGCCGAAAATTTCCCGGCAAATACCTTCTGGTGATCCAACTATTCGCCCTACACCGTGCAATCTCTCAGCCCCCACCCAGCAAATAGGATAATACCCGCAAATGTGAAGGCGATTTCCCCCTTTATAATAATAATAATAATAATAATAAAAATAATAATAATAAAAATGACAATCATTGCATTTGACATAACGCCTTAATCGCGTCGTCGAGACGTCTTCGAAGCGTTTCACGGAATATACTGAATGTAAGTGAATTAATTGACTGTGTGCTTTGTGGGCGAAGGGAAATGCTGTTCAATTCTCACAATTCTCATAGAAAGTGTTAACCTCAGTTGAGTGAGATCCTAACGGGCGATAACCGTTTGGTTGTCCGCTTACACGGTGCGGATTCCCGATAATCTGATAAACAACGTCCGAAACTCGGGTGTAGTTTGTGTAGACGATGCTAATGGCGTGTGGTGTTTAAGATATATTTATTTATACAGTATTTGCAATCGGTAAGATATTTGGTGCCGGGATAATAGAGAGAGAGAGAGAGAGAGAGAGGGGTTAAACAGTTGGAAGCTCATAATGTGGCGATGCCACAGTAATATAATCAGAGGCATTTCAGTCCCTGTCTGTGATATTAGTGCTCATTCAGAAATCCTTCCACAAACTGACAATTTCTCTCTCAAATCCCAAACACAGCGCGTACAGAGCAGTGCAGCGAACGGACAGGACACAGGAGTAATTATCATTCTATTTTATTTATCTCCCTCTCTCTTTCTCTCTCTCTTTCTCCCTATATATATATCTATATAGTAATTGCCATATATGTATAAATATATGCATTATATATAGTTGTATATCAATATTGTTGCACAAAAGCGCATTGTTTGGGGAGAACTTAGTTGTAATGGTGTTTGACCATTCCGCAGCTGCCGTTTCATGATTATTATTATATATTATTAATATTATTTGAAATGATCGAAATATCGAGGGGGAAAAAAATCGAGGAATTACACATTCGGTGTAATTAACCGCACCGTTCGCCCTGATTACTGCTGAGATGCGACTTACGTTTCTGTACAATCATTTACGGATGTCAGGGGACAAAATAAAGAAAATATTAATGGAAAATGAAAGAGACTTAACAATTTCGTGGCTGGGGTGCGGGTGAACTAGTTGCAGATGGCGCTCAACGACCAGAACAGTTCGGGTAAGGTCTGCCCGGATGAACACTTGGGACCACAACAAATCATTGCATTTATTATATTTATTTATAGCACATATCAGCTATGCCCAATGCAAACGAACGGAGGACAAATACACACAGTAACATCGGAAAGTGCACAGAAATTGGGACGTATCCAGAGACGCACACATAAAGCAATCACTCGCAAGATACCCAGACATTTGCATGTGTACAAATGCGCACTCACGCACGCCTGTGTGCACCTACAACATCGTGATTTAGTAACAGGAATTATAGCTCGTTAGCTGGATCAGGCACGTTATATTATTTCAGTTGGGAGTTGGGAGTGTCGGTCACTATGCATTGGCCGCGGCTGGAGCATTGGCCAGGCCAGAGGCCAGAGGGTTTATAACACAGTCGGAGGCTTTTGTTCCCATCACCAGGGCCTCAGAATAGACTTTATGGTTGACTATCAGATTGGGGGGTTGAACCGAAACGGGAAAGGGGGATTGGTCGGGGTCTCTGGGAAAATGTTCGTGGGTTTGAAGGACTGATTCATTAACTAGACACGGGAGGAACATTCCAGGCAAACTGGGCATTAATGCCAACAGTATATATTTAAAAAAAAGACCGTAACAAAATATGTGCTTAAAAGCACCTTGACACATCTTGCTGTGAGACTGGTACTGGACCAGAACTGAGCTAAGATCCGAGGACACTCTGGTCGCTATATTCAGCGCAGAACACAGGGCTGGGCTATTCTCTAGGGATTAGTTTACTGTATTTGAGAAAGGCGAGTGAGATAAAGTCTCTGCTGGATATAATTCTATCTCAGTCACAGCAGAAGAAGGATAAAAAGGCGGCTGGACCAATCACAACACCCAGTGAGCTCATTTCCTGTTGGTACATTGGATGGGAAACAAAACCAAGGCTCATCCTCATCATTAATTGTGATTGGCTGCTCAATGGTTGGCCTTTGACAGCTGCTCAACAGCTCTGTTTATCAATGATAATACAGTGTGGATTTATCTACAACTGGGAATAGAGAGGCCATGTGGCCCAATCGCTATCCGAGCCACACCCTTGATCAGAGGTCATTTACACACCTTATGCGTTCAGGGAGATTTGTCGAACAAGTTGCAAAACAACAAAAGAAGAGCCGCAAAATCCAGACTATAATCTAAGATCTCCAAGATACCTTCCGGTGTGTGTGTGTGTGTGTGTGTGTGTGTGTGTAGGGCGCTATATAAATGCAAGTTTTTGTGGGTTTGTATTATTTCCGCAGGTTCCTGTTGTCTGTGTGTGAACGACAACAGCAAATTGCATCTGTAGAGCACTCTTCACACAGGGTCGTGTCCCGAAGAACCTGGTTTTACAATGTGAGAAGGGAGTAAGAGAATTGCTCTTTCAGAATGGCTGAATGGCCTCCTCTATGGTTCCTTTGCCAGTCACCATTGCCAGTGTTGGCTGGTGATGATGGTAGTGGGGTGGGGGGGGGGGGGGGGGAGTGAGGGGAGATCTATGGCCATTTTCGTAGCGACTCAACCCACGTAAAAGGGAACTCAGTAGCAGCATGTTTGGGGAATTCACTGCACCTGCCCAGAGAGTTTCCGTTTGCAAATGATAATATTTCTCTTTGACCGAGCCTTCAGCTCCCCTCTCGACTCTCTTCACCCTCCTCGCTCCCTCCCTTCCCTCCCCTCACCCTGACCATTTCCCCCCTCCTCGCTCCCTCCCTTCCCTCCCCTCACCCTGACCATTTCCCCCCTCCTCGCTCCCTCCCCTCACCCTGACCATTTCCCCCCTGCTCGGGTCATGACCCAACTGTGCAGCGCCTTGGGACGTCCTCCTGACGTGAAAGGCGCTTTATAAATGGAATCTTGTTGTTGTTGTTGTTGTATTTAGCCTCTCAGAGAGGTGGGGGGTGGTGGTGGGGGGGGGGGGGGCAAACACTGAGTGAGACTCCAGAGTGTGACTGGTGACTTTCATGGTTTGAATATTAGTCGATTGACGGATTGCTTTTCCACAGGCAACAATTCCTTCAAAATAAAAAACAATAATAATTTAGTCACTCAATCCACGACCCTCTGTGTGACGCTGCTGTGCGCAATTGGCGACCGCGTTTCAACCACGAAATATCCACTCAATTCACTTTACAGTATATCCTGTGAGGAGTTCGGAGACGTCTCGAAGACGTGATAAGGCGCTGTACCAAATGCAAGATTTATTATTAATAATCATTAATAAGTAATCATTATTACTTTATAACGAGGCAGCAATAAATATTTTTTCATATCTGGATATTGCAAATATTAATTTCCGGGCCTGACATTGAATAAAGAAAACTATATAAATTTGCAACGATTTAGCACCTAAATTCAAATGTCGCAGATTGCCTTATGTTGGACAGCGCGGGGAAGCTTTGTGCAGTGGTAGTTTGATG